AAAATAGGGGCGAGAACGTGGCGGGATCCGAAAACGCAGTCGAAATCAAAGACGAGGGCTTTTGCTTTTTTTTTTTTTCTGGACGGCTTTTGCAAACCGTCGCTTGGGTTTAGGGAAGGAGGAAGAGGAGGGCGGCCAGGTCGGTAGGCTAGCATAGAACAGTAGTCTACTTTAAAAACAATTTCTTTTTTAGAAAAAACTGATGATAAAAAAAAACGCCAACAACAGATATACCACATTGTAACAAGCAACAGATGGTTTCCGATATTGTATTATTGAACTTATTCTTTTAGCTTTAAAAAGGCAACCTAATCATGAAATGATCCATGTCAACTGTCGATGCCTACAACTGAACTTGTGGATTTCAGAGGAAAAAAAATTTAAAGCAAAACATTTATTAGTAGGCTATTATAGATAAACAGTAACCTATATTAAAAAATGGTAAGAAATTGTATTATTTAGATTATTTTGCTCCAAAGGAAACCTGCACTGGGCTCACATGCCAAACCTAGGAAAATTTGGGATTTTTACCAGACATCCTGCATCATTTCATAGAAACAATCTCATCTATTCTAGGTGTAATGTCCCGTGCCATGGCTACTTTCAATATGGTGATCTGTGAGGCGGGATCTGTGGGATGTTTTGGTCAGCTTCATTACAGAGAACATTTATTCACATGAGTATTTCACCTTGGTTGAAATTGTCGATATTCGCTTTGCGTTTTTTTGACATTGTGCTAATCCCAGAAATATTTGACCTTGTTTACATTTAGTGTAACGTAACGCTAGCGTCTAAATTTGTGAGTAGGGTATATATTGTAATTGTCACAGACCTAATATTTAAAGTGAGCATGGGCCACTTAAACTTCATTACCAAAACTTGTTGTCGGGCCTGAATATATTATTGGCCATAGTGTATGTGTGTGAATGCAAGAGTGTATGGGTGTTTGCCAGTGCTGGGTTGTGACTGGAAGGGCATCCTCTGCATAAAACATATGCTGGATAAGTTGGCGGTTCATTCCACGGTGGCGATCTCAGATTAGGAGACTCAGACCGAAAAGAAAATGAATGAATGAATAACTGCATAAGAATTTTCCTCAGGTATCTCTGTAACAGGTGTGAAACAGCAGAAGGATCCTAAACCACTTGATATGGTTGTGTCCTAAATTACAGGAATTTTGGGAAAATATATTTGAACGTTTTTCTAAAGTCCTCCAAGAAATCTTGAACCATGTCCACTTATAGCTGTTCTTGGGATAGTTAGATTTATAAAGGGACTAAGCTAAAAAGAAAGGTTTTTAGAACTGACATACCTTGAGTAAGCAGGTTTAGGCTTAATCAATCTAGAATTCAGATGTTAAGTTAATCATGCTTTCTGGAATAAACCCCTGATGTATCTTTGTACGTTATCTGCAATTTTAAAACACACAGTATATGGTAGTTTAGGGCTGTCAATCAATTAAAATATAGTCAAAATATTTATATTATATGCAGATTAATTAATTTCATAGTCTGCTAAGATTTTTACTGTAGGCTTTTGACCATTCATTTACATGGCAATTGGCGTTTTGGGAGCCAGAAAACATTCATCTTTGAAAACAGTATGAGATTTTCAAAATAAAACGAATATTGTCTCTGTGTAAACTACATTGGCTGATTACAGGTTCATATGTGCAATAGTAAGGTGTTTCTTTAAATAGTTACATTGCCAACTACTGGTCTGGCTTGCATAATACAGCATTTTTATCAGGGTATGCGTTGACAAAATTATTTGTATCTGTATGTAAAAATGCAAAGGACAAACTTAGGAAATGCTTCTGCATTCCATTTACATTTGTAATAGTCTGTGATCCAGACGGACATCATTAGCCATTGCGTTACATCTGTTTTTTTTTTTTTTTTTCAGCATCTGGCGCAATGAGTATATTCGAAAGACATTAAAGAGATAGTTCACCCAAAAAAGATTTTCTCAACATTTACTAACACTTAAGTGCTTCTAAACTTTTATATACATCATTCCTTAATATGCATCAACACAAAACAAGATATTCTAAACAATTTGGGGAGATGGGGGGGCATTCAGTTGGAACAAAATAATATTGTTACTGTATTTGGCATTATATTCTGCTCAATGTGCTGTTTTTTCTGACATTCTTCAGTTTATTTTCCTTTGTGTTCAACAGATGGTTCAGTAAAAGGGGATAGATTTAACATTTTTGGGTGATCTATCCATTTATCACTAAGTACTCTAGGTTAGAAACACACAAACAACTATTGAGAGTACCTAAAGGATTAACTTATTCCTTCGTCCTGTGCAGTAGTCACAGCTTAATCACTTTGATTTTTCATGGCAAACGCTGGAGGGTTGCAGCATATTCATGTACTTAGATGTAATTCAGAGTGAAGTATTAAACGTGCAGTCTGATTTATAATGTAAGAAAGTACATTGTGCCTGTTTTTTCATGAGGTCAGCTGAATTTTAAAATAAAAAACATACTGCAGGAGTGAAAAACAAAGACACACAGTTCATGTAAAAATATGATATTGGGGTCAGAAAGAGAGTGGGAGAAAGTAATGGAGAGAAAGGGATTCTGTGATTTAGCAGAAAGAGCAGTTCAGGGGGAGGCCGTTGACGTGGCAGAGAGGAAGTGGTTTGAGTGTGAGGGGGAATGAGGAGTGAGGAGGGGGAGCCACTGGAGAGGAGAAAGAGAAAAGAGCAAATTAAGAGAAAAACTGTGAGAAAGAGGGACTGTGAAAAAGAGAATAAAACACCTCTTACTGCACGCTATGTGAAGACTAATAGTTGATCAATCTCTGCATGTCTGCAACTTTGATGACAAGAATGTGATTTAACAGACAAAAGTAATGTAAAACAGTGATCATGTGAAGAGTGATTACAGTTTAAAATAGCTTCAATAAATTTGAAAATGGAATTCATTATTGTTATGGCAAATCTTACTTATATTTTGCTTATATAAAGCTTATTCTTCATATTTTCTACGAATGTTTTTGTTGATACAGAAATAAATTTGGTACTCTTCTTTGGAGAATAAAACATTTATTTGAAATATATATTTTTTATTTAAAATATTTTTTCTTCTGTCATTGTGATTTTGCATTGTATATCTTGTGAATCAATGGGCTCATGTATTGGTCGATTAGCTTCTGGTAGTTTGCCCATTCTGGTATGTGTAGTAACTACAAAATTATTGTGTTTCATTAAAGGGCACCTATGATGAAAATCATCTTTTGTAAGCTATTTGGATTGGACTGTGTGCAGGTATAGTGTGTCCACTGTATATTGCAGCGATATAAAGACAACACGTCCCTTATTTTAAATTTCCTGATGTTAAAATAAGATCCAAATCCCTCCCATTTCGAGACCCACTGCAATGTGACGTAGGAGTGCAGTTTCCTTGCGATTGACAGGCACATATTGATATATCTTGGTAGTATAATCATATCAACAAGACGGTACGTGCACAAAGCAACTGGAATTAAAAGATCTATTCAGCTAGCTGTGATCATCAATAATCATCAATTGTGATCAAGAATGAGTTTTACAAGTTTAAAACGTTTTAAAAAGTGCATTTTTGCAATTAAGTACAGTAATTTTAACGTCTTTATCACCACAGCCACCTGTGAGCACAATTATAAAAGAAAACGCTTTAGTCCTGGTTTGTGGTCGTTAAATTAGGTTTATTTTGTACATTAGCATAATAGATATTTATACACCAGCGGATATTATTGTGCATCCTGTCACATTTGTCATGCAAAAACAGTGTAAAGCTAAATGTGTTCTGAGTGTCTGTGTGTGTGCACGAACTTTGGGTCCAACTTTATATTAAGTGCCCTTAACTACTATGTACTTACATGTAAATATAAATCCAATGAACATACTATGTTCATAATATGTTTCAGACCACTTCTGGTGCTCTTGAGGTGGGATGTGGGGACAGGATGCTGGTATTGGTAGGTTTAAGAGTGGGTTAAGGTGTAAGGGATGGTCAACAGTGTAATAATAAATGTAATAACAGAAATTAAGTACAGATGTAATTACATGCAGGTATTTAATCAAGCATGAGTACAAGGTATAAACATGTATTTGCACAATAAATGCAATGTAACTAATTATTGATTACAGTGTAAGAACATATTAGTTAAGGCCATTTAATATAAAGTGGGACCGAACTTTGTAACAACATTGTGTGGGACTCATCATTGCAGAAAGGCTTGAATCACCTCCACAACAAATACATCAAATAACCATTGGGAAAGTTCTTACTGTATTATTTCTCACAAACATTATGTGAGATCTGCATCCTTCATGTCTGTCACTGTGCTGTTTTTCTGGTGCAGCCTAGGCAAAGTTTGAGATACACTCTGACAGACACGTGGGAATGGTGGGTGGGGAGAACTAGCATTAAAGGCACAGGCAACAAAAACAGCTACATTGTGTTTGAAGCAGAGAATTGCAACATTCTGAAAGGTCTAATAAATAATCCGATTGGTGTTTTGAGCTGAAACTTTACAGACACATTCTGGAGACACACACACACACACACACACACACACACACACACACACACACACACACACACACACACACACACACACACACACACACACAAGTGGGTAAAATGGGTGGCCACGCAATGGAAATTTAAATAAAATTATTATTTTTTTTTTTTATTAAAATTAATAAAAAAAAAATTTATTAAATGTTATTAAAATTGTAAATTATAGAAAGACAGACCAATGATAATTTCAACCAATAATATATCTCTTTTCCCTTAGGAAATAAAGAAGCATAGTTTCAAAAGTAACTGCACTCTTAATAGTTCTAATATGCAGAGATGCAACAAAAGAACAATTTCATGTTCCCGAAAAAACTTTCGGGACAGTTCTTAAAGTAATCATTGCTTCAGTGTAAAAACACTTATTAATTAATCAGAACCATTTATACAATGGAAAGATTCTATGAATGATAAAGTTTCTCCATGGATTTTTAAAAATGTGTGCTGTTTTTGTGTCAGAGAGCAGTATTTCTGAGAGAGAAGTCAGAGAGAATGCGAGTATGTGCTGAGTGTGTGAGTATGCTCTGTTTTCATAGGCCATATGTTTCTGTTTAAACCGTTTTAAAGGGGTGGAGCATCATTTGATTGGCATCTGTTTCCCCTTGCTCCATAGCTCCGCCCCCTTGAGCCTTTAGCTCTGGGTTTATTTTCCTCATCTCATCTTTCACTCCTTTCGTCAGCTACCCCTTTTCCTCTTCTCTCTGTCCTTCTTTTCCCCCTTTGCTCCATTTGTTGATCCATTCAGACCCGTGTCTTGCAGCAGGAGGGATCTGAAAGACTTACAGGAGCCCGTATGAGTCTGGTGGTCAGATGGACCCCGGGGCCCAGAGCCGGTAGGATGTGCTTCAGGTTGAACTGTGGTTACTCAAAAGCTTGTACTTTGGAACTTTAAGGCGGGATGAAACTGGATCAGTAGTGGGATTTGTTGTACCTGAGCATTTCTGCTTGTTGAGGAGCAGATGTGAACTCCATAGATCTGAGCTTGCTGATTCTTGGATGACCCTGTTGATCTCTGTAGCACGTGCTGATTGGCCGGTGTTGGTGAATGGCGCGGCGCAGTTCAGGTGGACACGGGCGTGGAGGAAGCTGGCTCACGGCCTGCTTTTTTCCATCATCCTCAGGGAAAGAGCGTGGAGAAGCCCTGGGTGCAGAGGACTGTATGTGTGTGTATGCGGTGACGGCGGACTATCAGCGGCAGGAGAACACAGAGATAAGCCTGAAAGCAGGAGAGAGAGTGGAGGTGATAGAAAAGAGTGAGAGCGGTGAGTGGCACACATACACACATACATACAATATTCTGTGAGCCTAAATGGGCCAAGAGATTTGACATCAGTTTGATATATTTAGCTTTTTTTTTTAAATACAATGCAACTAAGTGTAATTTTACTTTAATTTAATATTAGTATTCATTTTATGTGTTAGTATTTGAAGTTTTAGTTTTTCTGCATTCAAGACTGCAGCATTCAATCTGCATGAACATTATTATTATTATTATTATTTTGTATGCTTTGTAGTAACCGTTAAATCCATTTTAGGGAACTGTTCTGAAAAGAACTGCATTTTTTTTTGTATAAAGATCATTTACATAATCTAAATCAACATTTCTACTTCAAAGAACAGTTTGTAGAATGAAAAGATTGATTTGAGTTCTAAATGGAACCATCAATGATAATAAAAAACCTTTTCTGACCACAGCATGATTTGAGATGACCAAACAGCATCTGACCATTGTTGACTAACTTATAAACAATGTTGAATCTTCCAAAAATGTGTGTATATATTTTAAAAATATCACTTACATATACTGTAAAAATTAAACAGTTGAGTTAACTTAAATAATTAAAGCAACTAGGTGTGAAAAAAATGAGAGTTTATTTAACCTCAGTGGTTGAACTGCCAAATTATTTTTTAAGTTGACTGAAAAGGCTGGTTGAAGTCAAATAGACTTAACAGAATAAGTCGATTGAACTCAATTCAAAAAAATAATATGGCACAAATTCAACCACAGAATCTTAAAAACTCAATCTTTCTATGCCGGTTGCTTTAAAATTTTAAGTTACCTGAACTTTTTATGTTTGACAGTGCAAGAAGTAAAAACTTAAATGAAGAAATAAATTTTATGTCTCCTCATTGAACAAACAGTTCTAAACATGCAGTTTAATAGTTTTCATGAGTAAACTCAACACTGAGCTCAAAAATATGTCCACCTAACTCGAATTTTAAACTGAGTCAACAAATTGTAAATTGAATTTTTTTTATAGTGTACTAAGAGTCATTAAGAAATCCTTAATGTCTACGTTGTAAAAAATATATACATGATCAATTAGTCATGACAACTTATGATTTTAGTTCATTGTAACTTAGTAAAGTAAGTTAATTACCTTCTAATTTAAGCTGTTTTAAGTCAGTTTAACATAATATAAGTTCATTGGACTCATAAGGTTGTGATTCAGCTTAAAAATTATTCAGCTTAAAAATTTAATTTGTAACCAGGATTTTTTTTACAGTGTATTAATTTGTGAACTTCAAGCTTGTTAAACGAATAAGAAATGTCTTCTGTAATTGTCTCTGCAGAAAATTCTTAAGTTGATCTAAGCTTTAAGCTTGTCTAGACAGTCTCACTGGCCAAGCTTGCATTTAGCTTCTAGCTTGGTTTAGCTGTTATCTTAAGGTATGCTCAGACTACATGACATTTGGTTGGATTTCCAAAGTCTGACAAAATCCCTGGATTACAGCCACATCAGAGGTTGTTGTGGTCAGCGATGCTAACAGTAAGTATGAGCAGGTCTGTGATGTGATCTGAGTCTCGAGCAGTCAAAGATGTGATATTTTTTAAAGGTTGTTGGATATTATCGCCGCATGATATTGTAGTGTGTGGTGGTGATTTTACAGTGTGAGCAGCGCCTAGATCAGTTAAATGCATCCCCTAAATCCCTCTAAAACCCATTCCAACAGACCAGTCAAACCAACTTGGCCACACTGGGAGACCAACTAACCAACTTGAGGTCTGTTAAAGCCTGAAACTGTGTGTATGTTTTGAAATTCACATTAGTGCAATTTACATCGAAACAATAAGAATTGTTAAAAATATATGTACTTGTGATGCAACTTTTGGTGTCCTGATAATCTGGACGATAATGGATCTTCTGTGAATCGTCTTTCATGGAAGTAAAGAGGGTTTTTTCCTGATGTTACAGTTGTTGTTGGTTTTTTTTTGGGGGGGGGGATCATTTTATAAATTATGACATACTGTATGGCTACCCCAAAATGGTGTATTTAGACTTGGAAAAAGTGGTGCTCATTTATGATGGATTACATTCACATCAAAACAAATTTTTTTTTTGGTTAAAATTAGCAATATTTGCAACTCTGCAGCTATCTGGATCTCAGAAACTTTGTACCAACATGAGTTATTGTATGTTCTTTCTGAGTAAACATTGTCGGCTTTGCATGTCTTTCCAGAATTTGAAGCAGCATTTGGATTTAATTTGGAGAAATGGAAAATTTCCAGCCTACACTGTGTGTTCGAAATAAATGTCTGGAGGGAATTTAGAATGACTTTTTTTTTTTACTGTTTGAAAGTTTTAAAAGTTGCAACTAAACTTAAACAATGAAATACAGATAATTAAAAGGCCAGTTTTAAGGAAAGGAATTAAGTCATATTGATGCACAAAAAAGAGAGTGAGCGTGTGTCTCTGGAAAAAACCCACCAGAGCCAGAAAGTCATATTTAAGTGAAGGTCTTCAGACCATCTTAATGGATCCTCCAGAATCTTTCCTCAGTGTGTGTTCGTGTTCATATGTGTGTTAGTACACGGTTTTGAGTCAGTATGTGCTGAACTCTTTATGTTAAAGTAATTATGGACTTTATACACCAAGACAACCTTCCAAACTCCATCTCTTCTATGCTTTCTGTTTACTATTTTTCTTATTTACTGTCAAGCTGCCGATTAATATATTCATGCATCTCACATTTGTGTTTTTATATTATGCTTTGGTGAAGAGATGATGTATGCTAGGTAAAGGAAATTTACACAGTATGAAAACTGTGGATCTGGCAACCTGGTGTTTGTGTTTGTTTGCTCTAATGAGCATCTCACACTGTGAGCACTAACCAGTGGCAGGTGTGCAACCAGGGACAGCGTGTTAGTGATTATCATAAACATTTTTGTGGTTTTACTAGTTTTTAAATCCTGTATGTGTAACATATATAATAGCTTTTCTTCTTTTTCAAGTAAACATGGTTCTGAACTTTCTTTTCATCAAAATAAAAAAACTGAAAAACACCACTCTGATAAGAATGCCAAATTTTTGGTCACTGATAATTACTACTATTACTACTACTACTACAACTAATACTACTTCTACTACTACTACTACTACTACTACTACAACAACAACAACAACAACAACAACTACTACTACTACTACAAATATTACTACTACTACTACTACTACTACTACTAAAACAACAACAACAACTACTACAAAAACAATAACAACTACTACTATAACTACTACTACTACAACTCTTACTACAACAACTACTACTTTTACAACAACAACAACAACAACAACTACTACTACTACTACCACTACAACTACTACTTCTACCACTACCACTACTTCTACTACCACTGCTACTACTACAACTACTACTTCTACTACTACTACTACTACTACTACTACTACTACTACTACTACTACTTCTACAACAACAACTACTACAACTACTACTACTACTACTACTACTCCCACTACTACAACAACTAATAATGCTTCCACTACTACTTCTATTGCTGCTACAACAACAACAACTACTACTACTTCTACTACTACTACTACTACTCCTACTACTATTACTTTTACCACAACTACTACTTCTACTACTACTGCTTCTACTACTACTACTACTACTACTACAACTACTACTACTATTACTAATACTATTACTACTACAACAACTCTTACTACAACTACTACTACAACAACAACTACTATTACTACATTTACAACAACAACAACTACTACTAATACTACTACTACAACTACTACTTCTACCACTACTACTACTAACACCAATATAACAACAACAACTACTACTACTACTACTACTCCCACTACTACTACAACAACTACTACTACTTCTACCACTACTACTACTACTACTAACACCAATATAACAACAACTACTACTACTACTACTACCCCCACTACTACTACAACTACTACTACTACTTCTTCCACTACTACTTCTATTACTACAACAACAACAACAACTACTACTACTAATCCTCATACTTCTACTACTACTACTACTATTACTACTACTACTACTACTACTACAATTACTTCTACAATTACTACTTCTACTGCTTCTACTACTACTACTACTACTATTACTTCTACTACTACTACTACTACTACTACTACTTCTACTACTAGTACTACTACTACAACTACTACTTCTACTACTACTACTACTACTACTACTACTACTACTACTACAACAACAACAGCAGCAACTATTATTACATCTACCACTACTACAACTTCTACTTCTTGCAATACTACTTCTTCTACTACTACCACTACTGCTACCTCAACCACTACTACTACTACTACTACTACTACTACTCCTACTACTATTACTGCTACTTCTCGCAATACTACTTCTACTACTACTGCTGCTAAAATAAAATAATAATAATAATAATAATAATTTTTAGAATAGATCATGAAATAGATCATAAAATAAATCTTTAGATCAATCAACACTGAAGACTAGTAATGATTACTGAAAATGTATCTTTGCTATTACAGGAAAACATTACATTTTGAAAAAAAAAAATCTTTTTTTTCATCAAATACATGCAGACTTCATAAGCACGTTTAATTTTTCTTTCTTCTGCTGTACACAAAGAAGATATTTTGAAGAAAGCCGAAAACCTGCAACCATTGACTTTCACATTTGTTTTTCTTTAAGTGTTCAACAGAAGAAAGAATCTCAAACAGGCTTGGAAGCGTTTGGTGAACTTTCCCTTTAATGTAACATATCCCATGGACCATTTCATTGAGATCCGGTCATTGAACATTTCCTGCTTGTTATCAAACTATTTCTTAACTGTAAAAAGAGGCAATTCAATCATAACTTAATGTTAAAACAGCTATCATAACATTATTTATGAATATGTGGCTCTTTTTGGATTCTTGGAAGCTATAGATATTATAAATCTAAATAGGTTGGGACCATTGTTTTTGTTTACATCACTCAAAATGGTCTAGAGTATATGTAGTTGATGTACTGCATGCCAAGAAATTTATTTTTATCTATTTCTACCTTTCTATTCACCTAAAGGAAAATAGTTGCTTCACATTCGTAAATCACAATTGAACCAAATCTCTTTTCCCTAAAAACAACATTGCCAGTAAAATATGTGTTTATCTTGAGGTAGGACTAGTTAACCCATTAAGACAGCGAGGATGTGACCCAGTTGAACTGAACAGCTGGAATGAGTTAGATGAGTGGTATGTGCTCACTGGCTCTCCTTCTCTCTTTAGGGTGGTGGTTTGTAAGAACAGCTGAAGAACAAGGCTGGGTTCCTGCAACATATCTAGTCTCTCTCACAGGACGTCGAGATAGCCATCGAGCACCGAACGGAGAGAGTAAGTCTAAGATACACTAAGCTAAGCTACCTATTTAATCTCTCATGCTGCGGCTGCACTGAATCAAGAACCGTTGAGCAAACAAAGCACATCTTTCACAACAGATATCAGAGCTGCTGGCTTGTGCAAAAGCCCGAGCAGTGGCCAAATGTCCTGTTTTGCTTTGTCTTGCGCAAGGCTTAACTCTTAGCATCCATTTATTTGCTTTATGAGATTTATGGATGAAAACTGTTGGCGAATTCTGCTACGGATGCAAGTTCATGCCATGTCAGCACAGAGAGTCTTGCTCGGATGAAAACCATACAGTCATCACATCATAGCCAAGGGACCCCCTCACTCTACACTCACACAAACACACACACACACACACACACTTGGAGTATTTAACTGCCTGGGAGTGGAAATTCTTGCAAAGATGTCAGATTTTCCATGTCTGGGTCCAGAAGACATTTACTGTACAACTGAGTCCTGCACACACTGACCCATATTACAGAGAGAGTTTGACTTGTGGTTGAGAGCTTCTGCAGCGTTTGCATGTTTGGTTTGGTTTTCCAGCGCTACACCAAAATAGCAAACAAACTAAATGGACAAGCATTGCATAAAGAGAACCAGTGAGTTTTTTCACTTATATTACGGCACACTACAGTGGTAGTTCATCAAAAAAGGATTTTCTTTGTGCCACAAAAAGATTGTGCTTGTCTCCAGTGAATAAAGATATTTAAGCTTATTAAAAAAGGATGTAAAAGTATTAAAAGTTTTCCCAAAATATAAAAGAAATCAAAATAAAACAGAAACGTGACAGAATTTGTGGTAGAATTTACGATGCGATGCTAAATTAACATCTGTGTTGATCCTGGAACATAATTTTTGTTGGAAAATGTAATTCATACCAATTCCCTACACCAAAACCCAACCATAACTGTAAATGTTTCTTAAAATCAAAGGGGAATAATAGTTGGATAACATTCATGTAGCGGATAAACCTAACCGTAAGCCTAAATTTAATATATAAACGGTAAGCGTATGCCTTAATTCTGATTGGCTGATTAAAATATTATTCCAGAATCAACATAGATGTTAACCCAGGAACATGTCCTCCTTGGTGAAATTAGGTTGGCAGAATTTGATCATTGGTGAATCGGTCATCTCGAAGCTGCTTGAAATATTTTAATCATTGAGGTAAACACATTCTTTTAAGGATTTATATTCACTGGTAAAATATGGAATTGAGTTCTTGTTCATATAGACAGTATTCTAGTTTCTATCAAATAGACATTCAGGTGCCTCATTAGTGGCTGTTTCTAAAAAAACACACTGTTAACAATTTTCAGTAGAATCTATAGAATCTACATTTTGCCAGTAACTTACTGTAAATTAATTACAGCAAAAATACTGAACTTACATTTACAGCACCATTTATTTTGCTGTATATGCATTTAGAGGTCTATGTATATCTCTACTGTAAAATATACAATAATTTTTATAATGCAACTTGAAAATTCAGTAACATACCACATAAATGTCTTACAGTAAAATACAGTTCTTGTTACATTTAAATACTGTGTTCTTTGCAAAAATCGTTATTAGTGTAGGGATGCACCAATAGGACAGTTTTTTTTGGCCAATACCGATTTAAACAAGCAAAAAAAAAAAAAAAATCCCCTACATAAATTAATTTTACTGAATATAGATTAGATCCATTCAACAGTCAACTGTTTACCATTTTAAGAGAACTTACAATATGACAGTGATTTTGCTATTCAATATTTTCTTAACCACAGAAACTTTTTATTTGAGATATACTAAAACATATTTATTTAATAAACTTAACAATTAAAGAGTGTTTCTATAATATATGTACATTATGAATTGTGTTGCTCCAGAAAAATATTCACTCACTAAACTGCAGGCAGTTTCTGTTATTTTCCGAGATGTTTTAGCCCAAACTTAGTGTTTTGTGCCAGCTCTTGAGCATGCCAACTGCACACCAGCTGCTTTCCTGATGCACATCTGACATTTTGCACATCTACAGTTTCTTTTTTGCTCTGAGAAAATGCTGCATTATTCAAAAGACAATATTTTACAACAAGACAACACACTGCCTCTGTGTAATTATTTACCATCAGTATCAGCCTTTTTATCACTTTATTGCTGAGGCAGATAGCTTTAAATTTATCCAGTATTGGACGAAAAATATCGGAGGCCGATACATCGGCGTATCCCTAACATAAACATAAGCCATTTTAGAACAGACAAAGCTGATCTGTGATCAATTTGAGAGCAAGTTGATTGTGCATCTAACCAACCACAATTTTTGTATGTATGAACACGTGTGACTTCTGCAGAAATTATTTAGTTTAATACACAACACAATACATAGCCTAACGCAACATTAATTTTCATACTGTAGTTTACATGCAACCAAATAATCTGCTAGTAACAGAATTGACAGTAATTTCAATTTGAACTAGAAGGTACTGCATGTGTAATGACATACAGTTGAAATGGTGTAATGACGTGAAATTTGGAATGAGCTGTTGTTTTGTAGAATAAAGTGTTAAAAATGACTGCCGTGATACTCTAAAACTGTCCTTCTGCTTGTGAAGCAAAACAACATCTGATTAGTGCTCTTAGCCACAAACGGCTTGTTTTGGCCACAGGAATAGCAGTTTTATTGCTTGCAACACAGCATAAAGCTTCATATGCTCATCATGTCCTAATTAGAGCCCAAAATAGATAAGTTCTGATCTTTAAAATAAAATACATTAATGTTAGTGAATAATACATGTAAACAGCACAAAAAAATGACCATGTAAGAACATGTGAATGCAGCCTTAAAGAACAAAATATCAATACATTTTTAAGACTAAAATATAGCACACTGATGTTTTCAAAAAAGTTCAAAATGAAAGCAAAAGTTCCTGGTTGTCTGACATCAGTGAAGCATGTTCATAATTGTTATGATGAACCTCACAGTGTAAATCAACTTCATCCACTGACCTCAGAGCAGCTGGTTAATAGTAATCTTGAAATGATATCACAATGTAGCCTCTTTTAAAAACTCAACACTTAACCTAAAAAAGTGGAACACTTTAGTGTGGAAGGACTAAAGTGGAACACTTTAGTTCTCTAACTAACTTTTTTCACCAAATTTATTTCCACTCCTGTATTAATGTTATTTACAAATTTGCCAGATTGATTTGAATTAAAGAAGACCTACTGTATTATGCAAAAATCACCTTTGTAAGGGGTTTGAACAGTTGTGTGGTGACAATCTGTAAATATAACCACCTTCTTAGGGTAAAAAAGTAATAATTATTATTTCTTTATAATTACACTTCATAAATAGTCTACAGAAACACTTTGTTTGTCATTCTTCATGTCATTGGAGGGGAAAAGCCCCACCTATTATTAGTGATGATCTCTCCCTCATTAGCATGCTTTGTATTTAAATCTGCCACTATGCTGCAACAGGGGCATTTGTAGCTCCGCCCTCTTTTGAAAAGTGGACTAAGAGCACAATCTCATTTGAATTTGAAAGGGACAGTCGTCAAAAAGGCACAATTAGGATCAAAGCCTAAAAGAAGCCGGTTTCCAAGAGTTATTAAACATTATATGTGGGGTATTTTGAGCTGAAACGTCAAGTACACACACAAGGGCAGGAGTGCCCAAACTTTTTTGTATGAAGAGCCAAAGACCAAATATCATTTAGATCCATAGGAAAAACATAACTGTACAAAACTATCTTACATTAAATATTTCAAAACAAATAGAAATATTACTTAAAATAATATTATCTAATGCAGGCTAACTTTTAAAATGATAACTTATAACAATATAACACATTGGAGTTTAATGCTGAATACACAGGTCAAGCAGAATCTGCCTTTGCCTTGATTTGCCTACCAAAGTGCATTGTCGGGTGACAGTACATTTAAACAAAATCTGATTAATGTACACCAGTTCATTGAAGCATTACATTTCAGTTAGCTTTTTCACAATAAAACAAACAAACAAAGGGAACATTAAATTTGAATTTACAGTCTCTGAACTATCCCCATTATTCTCAGATAGGATGGCGGGACAAATCAAAGGTTACCACGGACAACTTTGGCCTTAGTTTGGGCATCTCTGCTCAAGGGACATCAGAAACTTATTTTACATCTTGTAAAAAAGGGCATAATAGGTCTCCTTTAATGCTGAATTAGTGCATTATTATAATGCAATGACTCAAAGTGTTAATGTCAAGAAAAAGTGCATGTAACAGATGAAACGTCTTTGATATTTGCATAAACTCAATTAAAATGATAAATGTGACAGCATTTAAATCTATTTAGATATTTCTAGACATATTTAGAGTTGTGCTAACTTTATTTTTCTAAGTCTTCATATTCCATTTGTGTGTCTACTGTTATTGACGTGCCTTATTTCTTTGCAGCAGAGTGGTATATTACAGTGCAGCCGTTCAGCAGCTCGAGTCAGGATGAGCTTGGCTTCGAGAGCGGCGTCATTGTTGAGGTCATTCAGAGGAATCTGGAGGGCTGGTGGTTCATACGGTAAACTCTTCCTCCACATGTTTATTCTTCACGATGAGCTCCTTTAACACGCTTTGCTGGAATTTACTCAGTATTTAATGGGTTTTGCAGGAATAAAAGCGATTTAAAGCTTTGTTAAATAAACAGTCAGCGAAGTAAATGGCTGGAAAGGCACTCATTTTCACTTAATGTTATGGTCATTTGTTTTAGCTCTTTTTAAACCTCTTTCATCCTTAGAGGATAGAAAATATTGTACTAGGCAAATGCAAGATGAATTCTGATTTTTTTTTTTTTGTATTTTGGAATCAATTTGGTTTTAACTGTGAATAAATAGTTAGTTAAATAAAATACGTTAAAAAACCCAATGATAGACTCATATTTTTGGGTTTCTCAGCAGAGGAAATCATCATAGTTGGGTAAACCTAGAGAGCAGAGAATGGGAGAGTATCACGGATAGATTTTTGCATTCAAATCTGCTAAAAAGACTAAAGAAAGACTGCCTGATGATGTTATCATAACTTTAAAAAAGTCTGAAAAAGTGTGAGACTAATAACGGCAGATAGAAGTAAGAACAATATCAAATTTACTTTCCCACCTATACACTGAATTAAAAACACCTCGCATAACCGGGAACTAGTGATTTAGTAACTTGATGCAAAGATGATATAATTTAGCATATGCGTTAAATGTACATATATTTAATAAAAAATCTAAATATCAGATATGTTTCAATCCTGATTTTGCACCTTTTATTACACTATTACACTATTATTACACTAACTTTCCGTTAGGTGGATCTCGGCCTTGTATATAGTTCAAAATCTAAAATCTTCAATTGAAAAAAATCTAAATATTTAAAAGTTTAAAGGATTTAAGATGCTGATGACCATTAAAACAACACCAAATTGTGAAAAGGGCCCATAACAGTTTTGAAAATTACTATTTACACTACACTCATTCATTCATTCATTCATTTCTCCTTCAGCTTAGTCCCTTTATTCATCAGGGGTCGCCACAGCAGAATTAATCACCAACTTATCCAGAATATGTTTTACACAGCGGATGCCCTTCCAGCTGCAACCCAGTACAGTGAAACACTATACACACACATACACTATGACCAATTTCATCTCATCTCATTTTCGTCAGCTTATCGTGGGGGCAGCAGTCTTAGGAAAGAACTCCAGACTTTCCTTTCCCCAGACACTTCCTCCAGCTCCTACGGGGGGATCCGAGGCCTTCCCAGGCCAGCCGAGAGGCATGGTACCTCCACCGTGTTCTGGGTCTTTCCCGAGGCCTCCTCACGGTGGGTCAGGCCTGGAACACCACATCCAAAACAGATGCCTGAGCCACCTCAGCTGACTTCTCAAAATATGGAGGAGCAGCAGCTCTACTCCGAGCTCCTCCCGGGTAACAGAGCTCCATCTATAAGGGTGCACCCTGCCACCCTGCAAAAGAAACTCATTTCGGTCGCTTGTATCTGAGATCTTGTCCTTTTGGTCATGACTCATAGCTCATGACCATAGGTAAGAGTAGGAATGTAGATTGACTGGTAAATCTAGAGCTTTGCCTTTTGGCACAGCTCCTTCTTCACCACATTGCACCGATACATTACTGCTGCCGCTGCACCAATCCGCCTGTCAATCTCACGTTCCATCCTTCCCTTACTCATGAACAAACCCCAAGATTCTTGAACTCCTCCATCTGGCATAAGGACTTTCCTCCAACCTGGAGATGGCAAACCATTTTTTTCTGGAGGAGCGCCATGGCCTAATACTTGGAGGTGCTGATTCTCATCCCAGCCATTTCACACTCGGGAGCAAACCGCCGAAGTGCATGCTGAAGGTCCATGTTCGATCACGCCATCAGAACAACATCGTCTGTAAATAACAGATGAGATTCAGTGGTCCCCCTCCAGCCCAAGGCTGTACTTTGAAATTCTGTCCATAAAAATTATGAACAGAATTGGTGACAAAGGGCAGCCTTGCCAGGCTTTCTTTAATTAGTTCATGCAATTCACCCATAGCGCATGTTTTTGGCCTGTATGGGAAACTGGAGTACCTGAGGAAACCCACACCAACACAGGGAAAACAAGCAAACTCCATACAGAAATGCTTACTGACCCAGCTGGAACTCGAACCAGCGACCTTCTTGCTGTGAGGCACCAGTGCTAACCACTGAGCCACCTCTCTCACTCTCACTCTCTCTCTCTCTCCCTCTCCCACACACACATACACACACACACACACACACACACACACACACACACACACACACACACACACACACACGCACACACACACACACACAAATAGTTATTATGCTATTATTATTAAGGAATGACATTCAAGAAAGTTTTGAACTTATGGAATTAAGCTAAACTTGAATTTATAGAATGAATGTCTGAATATATGAAATACAAATTTGTATATACGGATTGAAACTTGAATATAATGAAAATTTGAATATATGGAATGAAATTCTGAGTTCATCAGTGCATAGAGTTAATAGAATTCTTTTATTTTATTTAAAAAGACAATACAATTAGCAATGTTATGAAATAATATTAAAGGCAAGCGTGAATTTTCCATACACATTACTCTTCAGTGTCAGATCATTCTGGTCTATGAATAAAACATTTAAAACAAAAAACTTTAAAACATCACAGATGTCTTTACAGTTACTATGACCATTTATGTGAGGCTGCTTTGATACAATCTACATTGTAAAAGCGCTATACAAAAAAAGCTGGATTGAATTGAAAAATTACAGTCATTTTGACCAATTCAATGCATCATTGTATAATAAAAATGTTACATTTTTCAAACAATCAGTAATTCAAAGCAAACGAATGAATTAATCAATCTTACTGACCCCAAAACTTTTGAACAATAGAAAAACAAATCTGCTTGCTTACCTGAAGAATGATGTGTATCATCTGTGTTGTAGTTATGGCGGTAAGGAAGGATGGGCTCCTGCTGCCTACCTAAAGAAAATCCAAGATGGCGTCACAGCCAGTAACCAGCCAGCAGAGTCAAATAAAGCATCTGTTCAGGGCCAGGTGGAAATCATCGGGAACCTGATGGAGATCAGCAACCTCCTGAATAAGAAACCAGCTAATGAACGCCATTCACACACACAAACTGACAGCCACTCAGCAAACACATACAGAAACTCACAGACGGACTCGTACACTCAGTACAGCGGTGATGAAGATCAGACTGAAGTCAACACAGAGAGAGACTCTGAGGATCAGATCAAGACACACATTGAAACCAGTGTCTCAGACAGCAGCGGGTCTGTGTCTGTGTCAGACGCTTGTGTTTCTGCTGTAGCAACTGAGCTCTGTGTTTCTTCAACTGTGTCCTCATTTAAGGCCAAAACTGTCCCTGCGTCCCCTGCTATTGCACGAGTCGCCCCGCAGAGATTCCACAGCGTCGAGAACAGTGAGAGTCAACACTACTTTCATTCCATATATGCAGTTTTGGATTTGTTTATTTAAATTTCTCTTGTAATTTTTTGATTTATTATTCCCTTTTTTGTCTTGGGGTGGGGGTGGATTAGTTTTTGTTTGTTCCATTTTTATTATTATTATTTATTTATTTTTTACTTTTTGTCATTTACATTTTTTCTTTCATTTTACTTTTCATTTATTTTTTTATCTTTTTTGCTATGGTGGGGGTGAAGTAGTTTTTGTTTCCCCATTTTTGCTAACTATTTTTTCTTCCTTTTTAAATTTTTATTTAACTTTTTAAATGTTCTTTCTATTTACTTTTAATTTCTTTTTTCCTTGTTTTGTTGTGGTAGGGCTGAAGTAGTTTTTGTTTTCCCACAGTGTTTATTTACATTTCTTCTTTCTTTTTACTTTTTCATTTATTTTTTCCCTTTTTTGGTGGGATGGGGGTGAAGTAGTTTTTGTTTCTGTTTTTTCCCTCCTTTTTTCATTTTATCTTATATTTCTTTTTTCCTTATTTTGATGTGGTGCGGGTGGATTCGTTTTTGTTTTCCCCATTGTTCCTTATTTTTTTTTCTTTTTCTATTTTCATTTAATATTTGTATTTTAATTTCTTTAGTTTTTCCTGTTTTTGTTATTTTTTCCACTTTTACTTTTCTATTTCTTTTTAAAATGTATTTTTTCAGTTGTGTTTCTTTTTAATTCCTTTCTCCTCATTTGTCATTTTTGTTCTTTCTCTTTTTATTTACATTTTCATTTCTTTTTCTTTAAAGTCAGTTTTTGCTCTTTCTTTTTTATTGACATTATTTATTTTTTCTTCTATTTAGTTTCATCTTCATTAATATACACCTTTTTTATTTTTAAATGTTTTTCTTTTCTTTTCTGAGTTTCTTTAGTTTAATTCTCAGTTTTTATTTCTCACTACTTTTTTGTTTTCCATTTTTAATTTCTTACTTTTCTGATTTTTTTTCTTTTTATTGAATTTTAGTTTTAGTTTTCCCCTTTCTCCTTCTTTTAGTTTCATCTCTTGTACATGTCCTTTCTATTTTTTCTCTTATTTTGTTTCTTGTTTGACTCTTCTTCCTTATGTAAAGCAATTAAACATTATTTTTCAATTTGTTTCCCCTTCAATCCAGAACCACCATCAAACAATCTTAAACCGCCTCCCCGTCGTGAAAACAGCCTGGTCAGTGCGTCCTTCTCATTTTCTCCTTTCTCTGAATTTCTCTCTCTCCATCACAAACACACAAATAGGTCAGTCTGTGGTTTGTAATAGTGCTGAGCTGCATATTTATCTGCTGTTGTGCTTCAGGGTTTTCAGCTGCCGCAGCCGCCGGATCCCCCTACTGTTGAAGCGGAGTATTACACCATCGCGGAGTTTCGCTCCTGCCTGACCGACGGCATCAGCTTCAGCGGAGGACAGAGAGCAGACGTACAGCACCTCATTCATTTAACATTATTTAAATGATAGTTTAATACTCTGCGGTACAAAAGTCTGGGTTTAGTTGTCTAAAAATTGACCTACTTACTGAATACTAAATCCTTTTGTTCTGCGAGGTTTTAGTAAAGGTTTAATTCTATTCTATTAATTCTTCTTTACTTTGTATCAAATAATTCTGTAAAAAACATAAATTTTCCACAAATATATTGAATAGTGCAACAATTTTTGACTGACAATTATAAGAAAATAATTATATTAGAAGTAAAAAATTACTATTTTATGGCATTTCTATATTCTTAATTAATTAAATGCAGACTTGGTGAGCATTTGGACTACATCACATTTACTCATGGTATTGTAGAAATGTTGGTAGAGATAATTGGCATTTTTAAAAAATAAAAATTTTATTATAAATTTATATTATAAATTTTATTATAATTAAAAATATTTGCTCTTTTTTGAACTTCAAATACATGTTTATAACATTAAGATCAGTGTTGGATTTCACATGCATGAATAAAGAAGGATTCCATCAACATTAATACGAATGAAAACCTATTTAGACTACAGGTCAAAAATTTGGCATCATTTTTTAACTATTAATTTTATTTAATGGTTTAAAGAAAATTATTCTGTTGACCAAGGCAGCATTTATTAAAAATAAAAAATGTTAAATTGTTTAACACTAATTTATTTAATTTTTATTTGTTACTTATTGTATGTAGTTCCAAATGAAATTATTACTCTAGTCATTATTTCTTTTATTATTATTATCAATGATAATAATAATAATAATAATAATAATAATAATAATTCATATTCGAGTGATTTCTGAAGGATTATGTGACTCTTAAGACTAGAGTAATGAAGCTGAAAATTCATCATTAAAATCACTTGAATAAATTACTCAATTAAATGATAAACTAATTTTGAACAGTTATTTTTATAGTGCAATAACATTTCCCAATTACAATTTGTTCTGTATTTTTGATAAAATAAACGCAGCCTTGGTGAGCAGGAAAAGCTTATTTTAAAACATCAAAAAATCCAACTGACCCCAGACTTTTGACAGGTATTGTATATATCACCACAGATTAACCAGTATTTATAACAACCTGGAATGTAGTACAATTGTTATACAGAAATATTGTGATAAATAAGTGTGATAACTAAATTTTTAGATGCAAACAACACTTGCAAGCTTGACCTAAACACTGTATATGTTCACAGGTCATTGAGAAGAACTCTGGGGGCTGGTGGTACGTCCAGATTGGTGAGAAGGAGGGTTGGGCTCCGTGTTCATATATAGACAAACGCAAGAAGCCCACCTTGAACCGTCAAACCAGCACACTGACCCGGCCCAAGGTCCCACCTCCTGCTCCTCCAATCAAAAAGCAGAACTCGCTTCCATGTGTTGAGTCCGAAATCATGACCACAACATATCCTCGAGTGTATGAAGAGCCAGAATATGACGTGCCAACAATAGGCTTTGAGTTTGACCCTGATCTGGATTTTTTCCCAAGCGACGCACCGACTAAAGCGACTCCACCTTTGTGTCAGCGTACAGTTTCCTTTACACTGGGCGATGAAGAGGATGATGAGGGTGTATATGCTAATGGTGGCTTCAGAGCTGTACCTCATTGTAAGGATAACCACTCTCCCTCTTCGGCTCACCGGGCATCTATGTGGGATCCACCAGAATATGACGCCCCAACGATCGAACCCAGTTTCGAAACCAATACAACTCTCTACGCACAATCAAACCAACCTAAACTCAAACAGCAGGCTGATGAGTCAAAATCCAAACCATCCGTACGTCCAAAACCCACAAACCAAGACTGTAGTTCTCTCAGAAAACCTCAAAACCAGGAACAGCCAAGTCACATGCAATTCAGGACCTCCCGAACATCAGAAGAGTCTGATACTGGTTTGTCGGATGACTTCCAGAGCTGCTTGTCAGATTCGTCTTCATTCCTGTACCGTACTACAGCAGCGTACCAGCAAGAAGAGCCGTGTGAGCTCAGCTTTCCAGCAGGAGTGCAGGTGGAGGTCGTGGAGAAGAAGGAGAGCGGCTGGTGGTTTGTCCGCTGGGGGAATGAGGAGGGCTGGGCTCCCACTTACTACCTACAGCCAATCAAAAGCAGCTCTGAAACAAGCAGCCTAGAAGCCAAGACCACAGAGAAGATCAATTCAGAGTTATCTTGGTCTGCTTCTCCGGAATTGGAGATTTCGGTGCAGGTAGATAGTGGGAAAATGGGTAAATCTGTAAGTCTGGAGAAAAATGAGCAGCGTGTAAACCAAAGCTTGAAGGGTGGACTTCGATCTAACTCAAGGGTCGGAGTGAAGCAGCTTGCCGTCAGGCCTCAGAACGTCCTTAAAGACAACACTAATGCACATGCAGCCCCCGCGGGACGGAGGAACGACACACTGCCTAGTCATTCTTCACTCGTCAGCTACAATGATCAAAGCTCTTCTTCTCATGCAGGTAATACTGAGAGCATGAGGCGGAAGGTTCCGGTCTCAATGGTGAAGCCCAAACCTCATTTGATCCACAACAACTTGCGTGAGGAGTACGTTTCTATTGCCGATTATCGAGGCGATGCGGAGACCATGAGCTTCCCTGCTGGTACAAGGCTGGAGGTCTTAGAGAGAAACCCTAATGGATGGTGGTATTGCCGTGTGCTTGACACAACTAAAACACGCAAAGGATGGGTGCCATCCAACTTTCTAGAGAGGAAGAGTTAGTGCCATCTGAAACCAAAAAAAGGTGCTAGAACTAGTTATCCAACCACAGTCTGTCTTGAGCTTGACGCCAATAAAAACATCAAGATTCATGTGAGATATCTTGCTTCAAGCTGTCAAAGGGAACACAAATAGAGGGTTTTCACACTGAGCATGTTTATTGCTGTTCAAGTGCAGTAGTTCCTGGTGCCTGCTACAATATCGGTGTGGTTTCACTTTAACTTGGTGCATTTGCATTCATTTGTTTATCAACTTGAAACATGCTTGCTGCATGATAGGAATCTTTTGGGTGATTATTTTGTGTTTTTTATTGTTATTCAATTCATTTGGTGCTATCATGTGCAGAAAATCTGCAACAATTGCCTTTACAACAACACAGCAACAATTAGAACAATTTTAGTTCTAGGAACACTTCTTTGGGGGGAACTAAATTCACTCCTACAGAGTATAACTACCAGTGACATAAGTTTATGTTGACTGGCCAAATGCACCCCATATGAAACAACGGCAAAACTGTTATTTGTTTTGCAGTGCAAGATCCCAGCAAACGATTTTGTGTTTAAAAGACATCTAAATGTAGACAGCTTGGCTAAAACAAGACAGATTAGACAGACTTTATATGTGTAGTCATTCATTCCTGTTCATTTGATGACTAGTCTAGTTTTGGCCTATTCTTAGACGTCTATTCGATTTTCACTGACAGCCCAAATTTAGCCTTGTTTTAGTTATGTTTAGACATCTATTAGACATCCGTTAGACATCTTTTTAAAACAAAAAAATGCTTGCTGGGATGTCACTGTCAGCTGACTTGTCACTTTTCAGAGTTTATAGTGATGGTAAATACAACCAGGAAAATGGTCAGGGGAAAAATAGTTCTCAGGGAACCGGAACTGGTGGCTAGTCCCTATGACCAAGTTCCTATAAATGTCTTCTGGTAAAAGCCCCCATATATGTGCATTACATGTACAGAGGCTCACAACCTTTTTTTTGGTTTGCAAGCTTCTAATTTACAACTCTTACTGTGTGTTCACAACGAAGGCGGCGAGAGGGTCAAAATAGCTTGAAGTCATTTATTTTCAATGGGAGCTGACAACGAAAGTGGAGCATCTTTGCCAGTGTGTCCATCGAGGAGAGTTGTAATCAAGTAAATTTTATGGTAATGAGAAGGGGCCAGACGGAATCTGCAGACATTTTTTATGCTAATTTTTTTGCTAACTAACAACAGTACAAAACAATATTGCTGCTTCAGAATATTTCAGACATATGGACATATTGGATATGTGGAACAAAGCCACACCACACGCAACAACTTGATGTTCCATAGTTAAATGAATTTGATAAAAGGCGAGCGACATTGTCACACTATAAAGCACATTTTTAAGTGGAAATGTAAGTGATTTGCTGATATGCTGCAACAACCCCTTTAAATACGAGATCAATGTAGCGAATTTTGATGCAGTCAAAGTTCGCTCTGACCGCCCTGGTGACAACGCTGTCTGCTTTCACAGCTCCGGCAGCAAGAGTGTCAATATTTGGTGTGAACGCACAGTGAAAGGGATAGTTCACCCAAAAATAAAAATGCTGCAATCATTTACTCACCCTTCACTTGTTCAAAACCTATTTGAACACAATGGATATTTTGAAGATTTCTGGTTGCTAACACCCATTGAATTCTACTATGGAAGTCAATAGCTGTCAGCAACCAGCATTCTTCAAAATAACATTTGTGTTCAATAGAAAAAAACTTAAAGTTCATCCATTTTTGGGTGAACTATCCCTTTAATGCAAACACTCTGCAAGCTCACCCATGCTTGTATTCAAGATTAAACGTTCCCTACACGTGTCTTAATGAACAAATGATATCATAATTGGCTAAAACGCATGCACAGGGTAATTTATTTCCCTGACAGGTGTGCAGCCATTTGGATCAGGCCATAGTGCAACCAAACTCAGACCACCTTCCACAGGGTCTGCTATCTCAGTGTGCTCCTGGATCCTCATGACTGTATTCACATAATTACTTTTTCCATGTACGCCACAGCATTTCTAACTAAACTGCCAGTGTTAAAGCACCTTAGGTGACAAGTGCATTTTCTTGTTGATTGACACCGTGTTAATATGCTGTATACTCCTGCTTGTGCTGGATGATGTGATGTTATTGTCACTGAACACTGTTTTTAGTTGTTGTGCTTAGATGCTCTTAATATGCAGCATCACTTTTCTTATAAAATGACTGTTTTTACTCAAATATATCAAGGTTTGTTTACTGACTAGATGCACTTTTATCTATCTATCTATCTATCTATCTATCTATCTATCTATCTATCTATCTATCTATCTATCTATCTATCTATCTATCTATCTATCTATCTATCTATCTATCTATCTATCTATCTATCTATCTATCTATCTATCTATCTATCTATCTATCTATCAGGTAATTTCTTTGTGTAATTAAAGTGAAATTCTGAATATACCAAGACTCAAGTGTATATTTGTATTGTACATTATACTGAATTATATACAGCTTGATCCATAAATATTTGGACATTGACACAATTCTAACATTTTTGGCTCTAAACACCAACACAATGTATTTGAAATGAAACGAACAAGATGTACTTTAACTGCAGACTGTCAGCTTTAATCTGAGGGTATTCGTTTAATTTCAAATCAATTGTGTTGGTGTAAAGAGGCAAAAATGTTAGAATTGTGTCAATGTCCAAATATTTATGGATCTAACTGTATATGAGCAATATCACACGAGTAGCAGTGCAATATGGCTGTATATCGGCACTGGTGGGAGCGTGTGTTGGCTTGATGCCGCAGACTGAGAGCCTTAGTGTTCCACCAGACACTATACAGCCATTTCACTCTGCTACGAGTGTGATATTGTGCTTACACAACAGTTCGACGGCATAATCGTGTATATAAAAAGAAAATCAAATGCAAAGAGTCTTAAAAACCCTTTTGTACAAGAAACTACTTTCTTCCTTCACATCTGCAGCTGACAGTCAGAACAGCAGAAACCATTGGCAATGTCTAAAGAGATGACAAAACAGGTCATTTTTGCTCACATTTTAAGAATATAAGGCTGAACGGCATGAAATACCATCAATCTACAGAGATTTCACAGTATTTCTCTGTTGCAATCACAAACACAACCAGTTCCAGTGGCATAAATACAGCACTAAAAAAACACAAAAGAGAGAGCTCAACTTAGAATGTCACTTACCTGATTTATAATGATTAGTTTAGCTGTAGTTGGAAATTTACGCAGAGAAAATGCTGTTTTTCTTCCCTAAAGACTTATTATGCTGTCTCTGTCGCCATCTTGTGGTGAAATGTCAACTGTCACTTTTATTTCTGCTCAGACAAGCTGATGGCGGCCGATGTGCTGAACTTAATGCTCCACAATTATAAATATTTTAAAATAGGCACTATCTTATATATAACCGTATATGCAATCTAAACAACTACATTCATAACTAAAAAAGCTTCGAAAGTACATTATGTTGCCCAACAGCAGCAATATTTGTAGACTGTAGAGTGTCCTCAGCTTGTTGTGCTGTATGTGTGTGTAGTAACACACAAAGGTGAAGAGGCTGTAGGAGTGCTGTTACTTGCAGAATATTGCATGGCTATCGCACACCTATCAGCCAATCAGATTCAAGAACCATATATGCATATACTTAATGGAGAGAAGATTTTTCCATTTCCAAACATAATAGTTTTAATAACTCATTTCTAATAACCGATTTATTTTATCTTTCCCATGATGACAGTAAATAATATTTTACTAGATATTTTTCAAGACACTTCTATACAGCTTACAGTGACATTTGAAGGCTTAACTAGGTTAATTAGGTTAACTAGGCAGGTTAGGGTAATTAGGCAAGTTATTAAATATTAATCACAAATATGTATAACTTAAAGGAGCAATTATTTTTGACCCTAAAATGATAATTAGAAAATTAAAATTGCTTTTATTTTAGCTGAATTAAAACAAATAAGACTTTTCCACAGTATATTTATTTAAAAAAAGAAGAAAAAAAATCAAAGGGGGACTAAGAATTCTGACTTCAACTGTATATATATAGGCTGTCACTAAAGCTTTTTTCCTACAAATTACAAATGCCAATTAAAATGTGAATATACATGTACATAGTCACAAAAATAACTAGAAGCTCTGTGATGGGTATCATTATAATTACAGCTTTATTCCACATAGTTAAACAAAAGTTACTGACACTTACAGTACAATGTTGCGGATATAATGTAGGTGTGTAAAAGCAAATTTGTGTTTTTTTCAGTGTTTTGTTTTGCAAAAAACTGCAAATATTTGGCAACACATCAAACCCACAATGCATTCTGACTTCAGATTGCTATACAAGTGAAAGAAACTAATTTTCGTTTAAATGTTATTAGATGGTGGAACAGTTCTGTAAGAAGTTACAAAAAAAACCCTGAAATCATTCATTTTACTTCAGTTTAGTCCCTTATTTAACAGGGATCACCACAGCAGAATGAACACACTCTATCATTCACACATACACTCATTTACTATGGCCAATTTTATTTATCCAATTTACCTATATTGCATGTCTGGACTGTGGGGGAAACTGTAGCAAACTGAAATCAGTATTAGTGTAACAGTAATACCAGATTTCCCATTATTCACATCTAGTCATATCTTAATACATATTTACAGAATCAGATATTAAAGTCATGACATATACAGTATTAACATAGTGCCATAAGCACATCATATCATATGAACACAGTCACTCCCAAGTTTTTTCAGCATTTTTGGTCAGATGCTTAGTAAATAAAACAGTCCTTTAACGCCTCTTGCTGAGCTCAAGCAGCTTTTTAATGGACTTGGAAACATCTCTCAACCAGGACACTGACCTTTGCCTCCTTAGAACCTTCCAGATTTAGTAAGCAGTATTTTGGAGTGATGCCTGCCAGGTCACATGCTGCGGTATATTTTAATGATGTCTCTGATAGGGCTGCGACACACAGGGCAGGATGGGTTGGACGTTTCCGTCAGCTTCACACCACAGTCGGAGCACACACACATGTGTCCGCACGCATACAGCACTGAGTCCACCGGCCTATCACAGCAAATCAAACACTCCTCTCCAGTCAAAGCACAGCAGGATGGAGACTCTGAGGATAGTGAACCAAATGCTGTTCCTGGAGATCAAAGAAAACAGAAAAGATGTTTTTAGTTGAAGAATTTGGTGAATAAAATATCAGAATGAGAGACAGAAGCATACCCAAAGAACTACTGAGGCTGTGTGGGCGGGGCTGAGAGCTGTCTGTACATCTCCTGATGGCTGTACTGTGAATCTGATTGGCAGAGAGGTGACTGGCATCACTAAAGATGGACCTCTGTGTTTCTGAACAGGAGGGAGAGTAACCACGGGAAGTGCCTGAAGACAAACACACAAACAAAAGATTATAAAAAGAAATGTATGTGTGCTCCTGCAATGCTTTCTATTGTTATGAAATGTCATGAAATAAAAATAATTCATTTTCATTTAATAATTCATTTTTTACTGTTGCAAACATATTGATTTTAATGACATTTGTACATCTAAATTACAGTTTAAATTATTTATAGAATTTAATATCTTTACTATTTGATTTGTTTACCCTATTCTTGCAATGTTTTCTATTTCTATTGTTGCAGTGTCATACTTTTAAAAATAAATGTACATATATTTTATTACTTAATTGAATTCAATCAAATGCTAATTTCTTCATTTTATTATATTATTTCAATTCAATTCTTGTTTATTTGTATAGCGCAGTGGTGCCCAAACTCGGTCCTGGAGGGCTGGTGTCCTGCAAAGTTAAGATCCAACCTCAATCAAAAACACCTGGGCTAGCGAATCAAGCTCTTACTAGGCTTTTTAGAAAGTTGGAGCTAAAATCTGCAGGACAACGGCCCTCAAGGACAGAGTTTGATCACCCCTGGAATAGCACTTTTCACAGTAATTATTGTTTCAAAGCTTCTTTACAAAAGGTGCCCATTATAGCATTACTATTGAATTTAGAACAGTTATTAGATATCATAACTTTATTAGTTACTAACTTTAACTAATTAACTAGTAACTAGATAGTTATTATATATAAACAGTGGTGTAAAGGAACAAATTATTGAGTAGTGTTTCTAGGAATTGTAATTAACTAAGCAGTTTTAAAAATGTGTACTTTTACTTTTCCTTAAGAACATTTTTAGTGCAGTATTGGTACTTTTACACCACTATTATCCTTCAGCCTGCAGTCACTACTTTATTTTTCTTGTCTATGGGGATTAGAAAATGTCCAACCTAAAATCAACCAAATAACCACGTCTAACATTACATCTTGACATTGTATGGAGGTTACACTATGACGTCTATCAGAAGTTGGTTTTTAGTTGCTATACCTGACGAATAAATGTCAGTATTTGATGTCAATATGACATTTGTCTAAGATGTTGCCTTGACGCTGGATTTTGGTCCATTTCCAAAACAACCTAAAATCAACCAAATATCAACGTCTAATGATGTTACAGCTTGACGTTGTGTGGATGTTAAACTATGATGTCTATCAAATGTTGGATTTTGGTTGCCATACTTAATGAATCAGTGTCAGTATTTGACGTTAATATGACATTGGTTTAAAATGTTGGCTCGACGTTGGATTTTGGTTACTTTCTAACACAACCTAAAATCAACCAAATATCAAAGTAATTTCACGTTGTTATTGGACATCAACATAATATTGTCCTTAGACACTGGTTAGACATTTTTGAGAGATTTAGTCACCTGACAACACAACCTAAGTCTAATCTAATATTAACGTCTTATGACATTGTGTGCCTGCTGAGCAATAACTAAATGCACTACAGAATTTTACGTTTACACATATCAACAAATGACAGGTAAATTCATCAGCTTTTCACAGCGTAATACTCACTACTCACCACTCTTGAGTACTTTTGAAAGGGCTACATTTTACTCATAAGTTGAGTAATAGTTACAACAGGTACTTTTACTCTTCTAGCACTACATTTTTAGGCAAGTAATGGTATTTTTTCTTATAATTTTTCTGTACTCTTTTTACCACTGTATATAAACATCAGTTATATTACATATTAATGTGCTGTTTGTTGTGGGGACACACAGCAGTAGTCGAAGCTTTAGGTTATTATTATTATTTTTTATTTTTTTTCATGATTAATTTACTTATAAATAAATTATATTTCTATGTTATTGAGTGTGTTATCTCTATGTTGTTGAGTGTGACTCGTTGCTGTTAACTGTCAGTTATTGCTGTAAACCTAATTGCCCTTCGGGGACCATACAGACGTTCTAATCTAATCTAATTTTATTAAATCAAAAAGGTAAAGTAAAATATGATACTTTATTATAATATTTAATAATTGTTTTTACCCAGTATGCTGATTTGCATGATGTGTGT